TTTTGACCTGTATCCTCTTCAAAGCTGATGCTTCAGAACTGAAATGTTGTAACACACTTTAAAGAAAAAATACGTGTACCTGGCTAGAGTGAAAAAGGGAAACTTCAGAAAACTGCTTTTAGCTCCATGTGAACCATGGTGAAAATAAACGCTTTGTCATAAGTACAAACAGACTCAAACATTTTAAAAATTCAGGCAGTTAGCTGTGGAACACTTTTGTGTCTTCCAGTCATCTCTAGTTACAATGCTGAAATTCACAAAAGGAAGGAAAACGTTAGCTACTTCCACATTAACCAACAACACTATGAAACAGGAGCTAAAATGTTATGCTGGGGCCCTGATACACTCACTATATATTTTGGGGGTTGTTCTATTTTAGACTACCAGTTGGAGCTCATCAGGTGTGTTCTGGAATGCATATTCCAGCATGGCTTTATCCAAAAGTGCACATCTGGTCTGTGGTAAAACACTAATGTAGATGTACCCTTTTAATTAGAATTCCTATTAAAATCTCACCTTTGCCCAGGTAGTCTTGAAATCTGCAAGTTCCTTCATTCTCTACCAGAAACGTACCTATCATGCAACTGTACCTGTTCTTTCCATACAGGTGCGAAATTCTGTACTATTCAAATGGCAACAAATTGATAGGCTTGTGAAGGACATCTGGAGATTGATTTCTAAAATGCAGTGGGTAGAATCAAAAAGTGAAAACTGACCATTTTAAACTTCATACTAACAAATTTTATGTAAATTATAGTAACTAATCAGACAGACAGTGTTATAGGAAGATATATTTAGCAAATGCCAGTTGATGCTGCTAGCATTTTGATACTTTATGACATCAGCTAAGTCAGACAAAGGCTGCCAACATGGAAACATTAAATAGTTTCAGCACCTAATTACTTTTGCATTAAAAATAATTTGAGCATGTTATTTAATCATCAAGTGTTAATTTTTTTAGAATGTCAGGTGGATTCTTGTGTAGCTGACACTTTGACACATTTTATTTACTTTTAAATAGGAAAACCGAAAAACTTTCCTTTTCCCTGAAAAATGGAAAATGTGTTTCTAGAATCCTAGTTTTTCCTGCACATCACAAATGCGGACCCAGCATCCCAAGGCATAGAATATGCTATTGTAATACTTCATTCCGTAAAGGCAAAAAGCTTCCTTTCTAAACAAATTTAGACAGTAAGTTTACTTACTAAAAAAATCTACTTCCTTACTAAATAATTGTCATGGTTTCAGCTGGGATGAAGTTGACTTTCTTTTTCAGCTGGTATAGTGCTCTGTTTTGGATTTGGGATGAGAATGATATCAATAATGCACTGATGTTTCTGGTTATTGCAAAGCAGTCAAGGCCTTTTCAGGCCTTTACCCTGCCAGCGAGTAGACTGGGAGTACACCAAAAGCTGGGAGAAGACACAGCTGGGACAGCTGACCCCAACTGACCAAAGAGATATTCCATACCATGTGATGTCATGCTAATTATAGGAAGCTGGGACAAGAAGGAAGGGGGGGATGTTCGGAGTTACAGTGTTTTGTCTTCCCAAGTAACCATTACACGTGATGGAGCCCTGCTTGCCCAGAGATGGCTGAATACCTGCCTGAGGTATTTACATTTACAAAAAACCTGAGTTTTTTACATTTTTTTAGGTGCAGATTTTGTAATGGGAGATTCTCTACCATCAGAAAACTTTTTCATTCCTTTGATCATACCGTGAATGACATTTCTTTGTACAAGACTTCCTCAAAAACGGAAACTAGGACATTGACTTTCTCTTTTCAGGCTATAGACAAAACAACTTACTAGATACCAGAATAAGCTATTTGAAGAGAAAGCAAAGTGCAAAGAGAGAACTGCCTTACTGAATTATTTTGGCAGACCTACAACCAAGCCTTTATTTTAACTGCCTGATTTAAAGACTCACAGTGATGGTAAATACAATGTGTTTGGCAATGCTTCCACCTAACTACTATCACCATTAACGAGATGCTTAGTTTCTCCTCCCCATCAAGATTTTCTTCCAGGTCACATCTTACCTTTCTTTTGATTAAGTCGTGCCTCACAGATTCTTGAAAAACAGCCCATGCCTCCCAAAAGGCAGGATCAACCTTTTCTACACGAGTCTAAGAAGTATTTGCCTAATCTGCTATTGAAAAGTTCCACTTTGTAGGTCATCTATTCCAATACTTATCTTTAGCAAGTTTTCCCTAACATTTAACCTAAATCTCTTTAGGTGCAATTAAAGGCTATTATCTCAATTACATAGAATAATTTCTCCTCCGTAGTAGCATTTAACATTCTTGATGATCATTAGTGTGTCTCCTTTTACAGTCATCTCCTCTAAAATAAAAAGCCCCCGTTCTTACAGTCTTCAAATATGCTTTCCAGATCATCAATCACCTTTGTAGCTCCCCTCTGTGCTCCTTTAAGATGCCTCATATCTTTTTTTCAAATGCAATTGACAAAACTGGACAAAGGATTCAGGCTGAAGACCTGCTCAGGCTGAATAGAAAATGAGTCTGTCTTGCATACATCAGACCATTTAATACATTTTACTGTACACTTTACTCTTTTTCAGTAGCATGGCACTATCAACTTGCTCTCACTTTCTACGTATTATGTTTCCTAGATTTTAAGGTGCCTAAGCGCTATGTAACATCTCGTGTTTGTGAAACTCATAATTTGTGAGAGATACAAACCACTTACTATAATAATCTTTCTTCCCTGATCTCCCAAGGTATACATATTTTGTTTACCTTGACCTGGCTTCTATGAACTGACTCAATCTATCAACCCAGCACAAAACTATCCTACCAAAGAAAAAAAGGAACACTTATTCCAATTTAAACTGAATCAGATCAGTAAAAGCTCCAACATGGACTAGTGGAAGAGAAGAGAGTGAGCCACTCAGCTCTTCACTTTAACAACTACATGTGAAAATGCAACCTTAGCACCTAAGTTTCTTCCCCTTCCCTGTCCCATATATTTTTCAGTCTGCAAATTTAGTAATCCGTAATTTTCTCCAGACCACTAATAAACAGATTCCCAGGAATCTTGCTTTCCCGTCTGATTACAGACAATTCTCTTACAGCACTTTGTTAATGTTTTTTTAATCTTAATGTCTCTGGGACTGCTTTATCCAACTCCCTAATATGCTTCAGTGAATGCCATCAGGTTCAAATGATTTTAATGCACCTAATTTATCTAACTCATGTCTAGTTGCTTGTTCTGTACCTGAATGTTTCCTTTTATGTCACTGATCATATGAAACCATATGATCAAAGTTGACTGCTGGGCTAAAGACAGAGTGAAAACAAGCATTCATGCTTATTTCCTCTTTGTTTAGCCAAAGGCAACCAACTCTCTTCTTGCTCATTCACCTCCTGTTACTATATTTTCATTAATCATTTTGCCCTTCACCATTTGCAACTCATTTAATGTCTTTTTCATTTTGTCTTAAGTTTTAGAACATGTTTATTTTTAGAATTTTTAGTTAGGTACTCCAAGAACTTGTTGAATAAGTTCTTTCCTGCCATATATCTTTCTCAACAGGTACTGGAACAGTTCCTGTGCTCTGACAGTAATCACAAAAAGGAAAACCAAGATTATTCAAGATTATTTTCACCATTAGCTGCTGCCTCCAGATTTTCAACAGGTTTATGTCCTACCTGCTATTTCTTTCAAAGAAAGTAAAAAACCCAACAACCCTGGTATACAAGCTCCCTTTCCTTGAATAAAAAGTATCCTTAGAAACTGTACCATAGCAGTAACTATGAGTATTGCCCAAATATTACCTTAGTCTGTCACCGTAAAGATGGACTTACTCAAATTACTCCACAATACTTCCTCTGACGTAACTGGCACCAGGGATAATGTTTAAGTGATAGTATTACAACTGCCATACAAGGCACTATTCAATATAATTTATCATATATGTACACAAGGACTACTCTTTACCTTTTCTACACTTCTACTTGCAGTTCTGTCTTTACGTGGCCAATGACAGCATTCATTATCTTGCCAATGAGAGCTTATATTCATTCACTGATTAAGCGTGATTCCTAGAACTTTTTCAGAGCCACTACTTTGTAAAATTTCGTGTTAGGTTTCATATACGAGTTCAAGATACTGTTATTTTGCCAAACTGGCTGCTGACAAAGCTCACCTGTTAATCAAGAGTGTCCATGAATTTTTGTAAAAATGATACTATACTTTCTACCACTCTTCTAAATTGTGTGTCATCTGGAAAATTTTCTGAATAATTTTATATTTTCTTCCAGATTTCTTATGGTATTGGAACTGGATCAAGAATCCAGTCCAAAAATGTGTCTTGCAACTCCAGAGTACTTAAAAAACAGCCCCTTTTTTTCCTTCAGTTCAGCACTACAACACGCACCTTACATACTATTATAAACTTAGCAATTTATGCATATTTGTAAAGAAATAGAGTATAAAATTTGTCTGAAAAAGAAGTGGGCATCTGAAGATCCCATTTTTCTAAGGTTTATGGAAAATAAACATGGAACTGACTCCTGAATTTGCGTGCCATAAGATGCACAAAAGTTTGAAATCAGTAGTTTTGAGTTCAGAGTTAACCATCTGCACTTCAGTACCTTTCCAAGTTGGAATGTCAAGACGGCTTTCCAAGCCAGAGGTCACAACAGGTATGTCCCTACCACAGAATTAAAACATATGGCATGATATTTCAAACCCAGAAGCTTGCTCAACTACACAGATGCAACTACAGAATGTTTGGAAAGACAAAACTACCTTGTTTGAAAGAATGAACATAACCTATACAATTTATTCATATACTGGCATCCTTACGTTACTAACATTCCAAAGGAAAACGAATTTTCTTGGAAAAAAAAAATCTACATTTCATCAATATAGTCTCCACATTTATCCACATGAACCATAAAACTACTAAAAAACTTTAAAACTGTAATGTTAACTGGAGATCTACACACCACCTGCTATAATATACTCTTACCTTCCTTTTCTTTGGGTTTTAAAGCTCTTTCTTCTTTCTTCTGCTTTGCTTCCAGCAGTTCACGTTTCAGCTGTCGTGCTTCTTTCCGTAGCTCCTCACTGCAAAGCAAAAAATATTTACAAGATTTTAATATTCTGGGAATGTAAATCCACTCAGGAGAAAGAGCATCAAAGTTAATGGGCAGTAAATCTCTGATATAAACAAAGGGAATGTGCTGATTCACTGATGCTAGGAACATGGCTTAAAAATGAATTAGAACCTAAGAAAGCTCATATTTTCATTAGCAGAGACAACAAAAGAACACAACAGATTACTTACTTTTAAGACCCCATTAGAAATACACCTAGGACATGAATAATAAAAGAAAGAACCCTCATTTGTATTTTTAATTTAACATTATAATATTTAATCATGAGAACCACACAAATAGAATTTGCAACAGAGGCACTGCCAAACAAATATTACATGTGTTATAAAATTCCGTTTACTGAAGTAATAAGTCTTAGCATCCTGGATTTCTTAGATGGACATGCAATATAGTTCTTACTGTAGTAGTTGTAAGTGACAAAGACATGATATGTATGTAAGAGTAAATTATTACATGAGAAAATTCATTCAATTTTACAAATGTTAAAAAAAAAATATCAGGTGATAACACCAGAAAGAAGAACCCCAAATTTGTAAGTCATTAAGACAATGACAATATCAAATGAAATAGAATTCATAGAATCACAGGCTGGAAGGGACCTCTGAAGATCAGCAAATCCAGGTTCCCTGCTCAAAGCAGCACCAGAGTAGGTTGCCAAGAGCATGGTCCAGTCAGGTTTTCAATATCCAAAGATGGAGACTCCACAACCTCTCTGGGCGACCAGTGCTTGACCTCCCTCAATGCAAAAAAAAGCTCCTTCGTATGTTTAAATGGAATTCCTTCAATTTCAGCTTGTGCCCATTTGTGCCAGTCTAATGGTTACCAATGGAAAAGAACAATAACTGCCTCAAGTTTTTCTCATGTTAGAATCTGTATTTTGTACTTTTTTCCCCAAAATATTAAGTTCTCATTGATTTGGTATTCATCATAGTCAATGAATAGCAGAAATTATTACAATGCAGGAATGTGGCATGCAAACGTCTCCCTGCAGCTGCTCTACATACCTCAATTCTCATCTGTAATACCATTACTCACAACACAACAGCCTTTTTTAAGCGAAGACTTGGAATTGTGGGATGATGACTTCTTTTGAACTTAATTTTCATTTGTATGTATGCACAAATAAAGAGCTTGTGCAAAACACCAGAAAAAGAAGACTGTCATTGTAAAGGTATTCAAACAATCAACTACAGCAGTAGCTCTTAATTTTCAACAGCATGGTAGAAGCTAGACTAAGCCAGATGAACAGCTTTGACATAAGACTACAGTTCTACTTTTCTATCCTGAGATGAAAATCATAGGGGAAGGATAAAGAGACATTTTTAACCCAAGTAAACTCCATTGCTTTTATATAAAGTGGGAATAGCATGGTGAGGAAGCTGCATTACAACACTAATCTGGTATACTGCAACACTTCTTACAGAAGTTGTACAGCTGGAACAACATACATGTCAATAAAAGTTACATGTTTAAAATATTTGGAGTCTCAGAATGTAATGACAGCAACACAGCAAGAGGGGGTTACAAATGGCACTTATGAGTAACAGAGCCTAGCACATCAGAATTTTTCCTGTAAGAAGGACACGCTTTCTTTTAGTTACCTTAAGCTGTTGTGGAAAGAAGAATGAACTAGCTAGTGACAACTACTCAGGCCCCTCTGCCCCAGCCCTCCCCCTTCCCGCTCCCCCTTTTTTTTTCCCAATGGAAAGAGGTTCCTGTACAGAATACAGAAGGTCCTAATTCCTAGACAGCCTAATTTAAAATACTTTTCCAAGCTCCCTCTATGATCAGTATTGGCTCCTTATAGACTCCACATTTTCTACATTTTTCAGTCCTAGGCTCACTTTACCAAGTTGGGCTGATGAGAAAGGTAATCCAAAAAGCCTGCATGCTAAAGAGGTTACTTTTTAGCAGACTAAGTAGTTTATGCTTTTTTAAGAGTTCTTTTTAAAGGAAGGAATGTTCTTCTACCTTTAATCACTTCTGCCTACTTCAGAAGTCCCTGCAGTATTTCCACAATCCTTTTGAAAGTGGACCTCAAAATCAGACACACTGAGGGGTTCCGGCAT